GGAGCCCACTGGATCGTGGAGGAAATCTCAAGCCAGCAGCGATCCCCTCTCACTCAATTAAGTCAAAATAGAGGGGAAGCTTCTCGGGGTAAATCTTTTTATAACGTAACCAAAGAGATTATCCGGTGATTCCCCCCTAAGAAATCGGCCAGCTTGCCCGAGCGGCTTCTGGTTTGGTCCAACCCAAGTGAACCTACTCGAGTATACCTAGTAAACTCGCCCAGTACCCATAACTTGATTTACTAGTGCAGGCCTCATCCCTAGAGCCAATAGAAAATTAAAAACCAAGAACATATTCTCAAAGTTTTGTCGGGGTTTGTCGCCGTGATAACATGCGGTACCATATGCTGCGAGCTGCGGTTACGATTATCTCGGCTTATTGGCGCAATGCAGTTCGCTTGGCGGATACAAGATCAGATATCGGTTGGAGACCGTTTTTCTCACAGATGGTGCAATAAGGTAGCGCTTCGACGATAATTTTCATTCCCCCCTTTCCCCTTTCCAGCATACCACAGATTCAGTGACATAGGCCGGCCACCCGATCCATGCTATCATACATGCCCGAAAACTATGACAAACCCCGGTGGGTCAACGAGGTGCCCTACAATCGTCCATCCTGCCCCCAGGAACCCCAAATTGGGCACCCACTCTACCCCACTATGCATTGTGCCCGCTAACGCGCCGGCCTCGTCGAGGGCCACCCGGACCAAGTGATATCATAAGCTGCCTTAGTGTTCTATTCCTCCACAATTTCTTCCAGATGCCTGCCGCCGCTGTGTGCAGCCAGGATGATGGCAAGTTCTACTGCTGTTGGATTTTTTTACTCACGGGGGCTAATAATCAACCACCTGTCCCTCTAACACAGATGCATAGCATGTCCAGTTTTCTTTCCTCATTCCCTACTCTACTTTCATGCACCCCCTATGTATAACACTCGGCACTCTCACTCACCTCAGTTCACTAAGTTACAAACCTTAGAGACTTTTAACCCCATCTACCCATCGCTATTCCCGCACCCCAAATACGGACCTTCCTGAATTAGCCAGAGTCTATCTAGAACTCCTAATAAGGTCGCCACCCAACGCCGAAAGCTCAAAATAGCTCCTTCATTCCAACGTCACTCTCTGCAATTGGGCTCCTACGGCCCGCAAAAATCCTGAAAACCCAGGAAACAGAGAAAAAATGAAAAATGAGGCATAAAATACGAGATTTAGAAAAAAAGTAAAACTGAAATAAAGCAACACTTAGCCCAGAAATGGCCTACCCTCGAGGCTACTAGGAGTACCTTATCAGCGACGTAGCCCGCAATTCGAAATTGGAACCCGGGGATGTCCGCTGTTGTTAGACAGAGACATCACAAGAATAGTTCCGACGTAGAGTACAACTTAGGCAGGCCTGCTCTATTTTGTTTGAAGGCCATTTAGCTAAGCAAACAGTCAATTGCGGTGGAGCCAATATGCATAGTGGACTCATCCAAGCTACTCTCATCATGGAAACAGGATGCAAATTTGATAATACACAGCGCGCAGTAATCTCGCCGAATGGTTGCACGTACTAACTTTGGCATAAACCCAGCATACCTCACAATTGTCTAACAACATTCCCACCGGAATCTGGAACTTAACTACTTATATCGAAACTAACAACGAGGGATCCGTGCCAAGTATTGTTATGAGAGGGCGATTGTGAAGACTGAAAGCGGGAGTGGAAGAAATAAAGATGTGAGGTTGACAGTTTTAGATACGAGTACAGCACACCGTATTGTTGTTGCTTGCCTCTTTTATCTACGGAACAACACTTTATATAGACAAATCAACCACGCTCCAGCTACAGTGCTCCGGCCACTGGAAGAAAAAACAGAAATGATAAGCACCCTTGGATCCTCCGGGAATCCCTCCGGCGGGTTCCAGCCAACTCCGGACTTCTGGTACCTTTTGCTCATACCCAATACCTATATTTCTGCTCCCTTGCTGCAGGCAATTTTCCATATCGCATGGCACCCGCCATATAGAGTATTTATGGAACGGATATCCATTCCCTTGACTGATGAGAAATCAACGACTAATAGAGAAGAATAAACTCACAAAGGAATGACAAATAGAAATAAGGAAAGATATGTATCCATTGACCGAGAGCCAAGGAGACGGAATGATCGCCGGTGATTTTCAATACAAGGTCATATGGCTGAGGGACTTAGAAGCTGCGCGGCTATACCTTCATGCTACAATCTAGACGGCCCGATGCAGATCTAACGCAGGCGATGACAGTGGCGTGTCGGAAGGGTTTCTGGAATGACACCCGTAGATTATTTTCAATCCCAAGATATTTCGCAATCCGCGACTGCTCCGGGTAATTCAAAATAATGTAAGCTTCTCATGAAGCCAAACAGCTAACTCTCCTTACTGTGCTGGGATCCCGTCCTCCCACCAGAGAGATTCCAAATCCTCTGCTGCCCCAACGCTCCAAACAACACTGATTCATACCCAATATCTGAAACCGATTCCCGCATCGATCTCTTCCGATACCCGAATCCCCAACTCGCACGATCTAGATTCAGCATAAATATGATCCCTCCAAACACCGAGTTATTGTGGTGAGAACATCAAAACACTAGATCAAGATAGTGTATGTTTTAGAGTCAGATATCCCCCTCCCCCACCCGGAACACTGGCTAATTCCGGCCTCCAGAAACGCAATCATAAGGTTGGCTGTGTGGACCAAGAGACGTTCTCTCAGTACCTATCTTCCCAGCCCACGTGATGGACAACGAAAAAAATAGATTATCAAGAGAAACAAGGAAAAGCAACATGAGTAGCCCAACCCGTAATTTTCTACGCACAAGAGATCCGGCCGGAACCTCCTACTACTAAAACAGGACATGCACGGCCTAGATCACACCTATGCTGCAAGCCCCTCCGGTCTCTCAATATTTTATTCCATACCACAGTAAACTCTCACAGTATTTGCACTGGTCAAGGAGAGAGTGTGTGTGGAGTTTTACCGCCGGAAAAGTGGTACCAATTATCTGGCTCAAATGGAATTGAAGCACGGGGGTGTGGGCCGATTTCTCTACCTATATTCAAGGGCTCCTTTACATGGTTTGGACATGTGGATGATAAGGAAACTATTGCTCGCAATATTGAGAATGCATGTGGAAATTCCAGGGAGAAGAGTCCCAGAATTTCTGCCCGGGCAGTGAGTATAGGAGGAGGCGGATATAAGGTAATTAAGGAAAATCCCTGGTGAATCTTGCTGTAAGTACATACCAGCAGGAATCCCCAGTGAAGAGAAGCTGGTGGGCTTGCGGGAAGGGCCTAGCTGCATGAGGAAAGAAGGAATGGTGGAGCGATGCCTGGTGAAGAGATTGTGCCGCTTATGGGGGAGTGGCTTTGATAGATATTACGGGGTTGCTGGAAGGCCTACGTTGGGTTGCGCTATGAAAGAGGCAATTCCAGCAAGTTACCCTCTATATACAGCCACTCGTCAGAAGTGTTCATGATGCTGTATTAGTAAGCTGCCTCGCCAAAATCCCACAACAACTACCTATTCATAAAACAGTAATAAAGCTACCTCCCTGCAACAATGAGGATACCCACTAGTACCAGTGAAGATCCTGCAACTGTGAAGTTATTTCTGTAGGGTTCTGTGCTGCTCTTATTTTTTTATTTTTTTTAACCATAATTATTAAACATGAAATAGATAGCTACTAGTATTTTAATAAACTAAAAGAAGACTAAACTATCATGCAGAAAAATGATTAATGCTAAGAAGAAATAGCAATTGCCCTTTTCTATTAACTCTAGAATATCATCCCAGTGTTCCCAACGGGCCGGGTAGGCCAGGCTGAACCGAAGCCGGGCCCGGCCTGCCACAACTATGGGGGATTTAGCCCGGCCGGTGCCTATAGGCTTTGAAAAGGCTGGGCCTGGCCTGGCCCGGCCCAGCTATAGGCCGTATAGGCTAAGTACCTGCCACCTGATAGGCCGGCCCAGCCTATATGGCCTAGCCAAGCCGGGCCCAGCCTATGAATACGGGCCTACAACCCCCTCAGATCCTTGATTTCCATTCGGCTCATCTCCCATTCCACTAAACTAGTCATAGTGGGCACATTCACTGATGGATTCCTGCTGAAGGAA